ATGTGGAATGGCACAGGGACAAATACTTTTTCCCTGTGCCATTCCACATTATTACAAATAACTTAATTTCTGAACATTTATGGTTTGATTTCTTTGTATGTATGGATCACTTGGGTTGTTACCGACATCTGGTGAAAATGTCATGTCATTAGCACCTCTAGTAATATATTTACTGAGAAAAATGGTGACATGTTCAATACTTATTTTACCCGCTGTATTACAGTTATATTAAAGTTCTGAGACAGAGAGGAAGAAATTAACCATAAGATAAAACCAGGAAATAAGGTCTGCAGTGAAACAGTCTCTGTATAATAAAGCTGAGGGTTTTGTTTGAGGTTTCCTCACTCGTTTGTGGTTTGATAAACCTGTGTTCCTCCTCTTTGGTGCTACGGGGTCTGGATTCTGCTCGGTCTCCCAGGTTGAATCATAATCACAGTACAGCTCATCTGYGGGGTCCACTTGATATGCTCTGCTTTGAAACTCATCCTCTTCAGACTCACCACTCTCATCCACAGCAACACTTTGGTCAGATTGTTTGTTACAGCCATGGATATTGTCTAGATTCTGTGGAAAACAGTGATTTAATTAAACCATTAGGAAATGTTACATGTGATAAACATGCCTGTTTGAATTGTCATGCATAAGAAACCACATTACAATTATTTTATGAATAAGACTTGGCCAAGTTCTTTTTACAGAGAATATTTAACCAGGAATTAAAAGCAAGAAAAGACACATGTAGTAAGAGTATGGAAGCCCATTTCTGGCACCCAGATAAAAAAATAAAACTTGCATCTCATAATTATGACTTAGCTATCTCATAATTATGAGATACTATCTCATAATTATGACTTAGCTATCTCATAATTATGAGATACGATCTCATAATTATGACATACTATCTCATAATTATGACTTAGCTATCTCATAATTATGAGATAGCTAAGTCATAATTATGAGATACTATCTCATAATTATGACTTAGCTATCTCATAATTATGAGATAGCTAAGTCATAATTATGAGATAGCTAAGTCATAATTATGAGATAGTATCTCATAATTATGACATACTATCTCATAATTATGACTTAGCTATCTCATAATTATGAGATAGTATCTCATAAGTATGAGATAGCTAAGTCATTATTATGAGATAGTATCTCGAGATACTATCTCATAATTATGACTTAGCTAAGTCATAATTATGAGATAGCTAAGTCATAATTATGAGATAGTATCTCATAATTATGAGATAGCTAAGTCATAATTATGAGAGACAAGTTTTATTTATTTTTTTGTCAGGGTGGCGGAAATGGGCTTCCATAAAAAGAGTGTCTGAGCTGAAGGTTAGTTTTGTTTCCTTACTCGTTTGTTGCTTGTTGAAGCTGAACTGGATGTTTGGTCTTCCTGACTCTGAGCGTCACGCGGCTTGTCTGCGGGGTCCACTCGAACCCCATCGAATCCAGACCCTTCTTCTTCTTCTTCTTCTTCGGGTGTTCCACTCTTTCCCTGAATGACACTTCGGTCATTTCCGCCGCCGTTTCGCCACGACAGGTAAAGGTTTATTAACCTATTCGACACTATCAAGCAAAGTATAGTGAAACAATGTTTTCCCCATAAACAGCGACAAACACCACGGACTCCATCGAAAAGTCTGCTCATTTTGCGTCTTGTCCGACGGAACCACGTCCTCATCACACCTGCTGACTGCTGGCGACTTTCACTTTCTCTTCCTGCAATCACTTCACTGAAAACGAAACTTTCAGAACTGATAACGCCCAAAAATTACTCGAGTTATTTTTCTTTTTGAAAAGGCTGCAATTACTTCTCTGCATTGTTCACGTTTATAAAATAAAAACAACTTTTCAATCAACTTTAATTTTGTACCACTAAACAAATTATTTTAACCCAAGAAGTGGAATTTGGCATTCAGATGAGCAACATAAACTTGCTGATAAATAAACCACTCTTGCATTTTTGCATGACATATGCCACTTTTTTCTTGATCTCAACTGAACAACTTCCGCTTTTACCACGCGAATGAATGGAGCAAAAAATAGGCCGTCACATTGATGGTGCTGAGGCTGCTGAGGGGATCAATCCGCCAAAGTTTACTAATTTATCTTCGCTCACAAAAAGCCATCAGCAATGACGTATTCATGACAGGTATAATCCACTGGCCATTAGAGCCGAATAACACGTGACTTTTCACCTGACTTTTCTGTGTAAATAACATTTAATACGCACCAAACGTCTAAATAATGCATAAACAACACAAAACCACACTGTAAAAAATGAAAAGTTGGATTTACTTAACCATGTTATGTTACCTGGTTCCACTTAACTGAGTTGAGTAAATTCAAAGCAATATACCAGTTTTTTAACCAAAGAACATGAGCATGTTGCTTTGAATTTACTCAACTCAGTTAAGTGGAACCAGGTAACACAACATGGTTAAGTAAATCCAACATTTCATTTTTAGAGTGCAACAGGGTAACACCAAACAAACAACACAAAAATTGTGTGTAGAATTTTTTTGTATTGTACTTTAAAAATTAAGGATTATTTTTCTGCAGTTCAGTGTGGTGATATGGTCTGTGTGAAGTGACRATTCAATCTGAGATTAAACAATATAAAGAGGTTTAGGCCTACCGAGGGATTATTGATGATGACACGGCAATTTTTTTTTTTAGTTTAATTTACTTTTGAATTGGGGTTTTGCCCACCACGTTTCTTATTTATTTCATTATATAAAGGAAATGCTTTGTGCATAGAATTTTATTTTCAACTGTGATCAGACACCACTATATAACAAGTGTAATCACTAATAGCTTAGTGTTTACAACATTAAAATAAATGCTCTGTTGTTTTATTACTGTTGCATTTTATAATAGCTGATGTCTGTACTCTAATTATTGTTTCTATCAGTCTACTGCATTAAAGTTAGAAAAAGTAGAAACAGAGAAACAGCAGTTTATCCTCCTCATGTTAAAGTGTTTTACTCCTGGGTTTGAACAGCCAACAAAAGGGAAGGAAGAGCAATTCACCAAAATAAACAGGCAAAACCTGCATGTCAAACAAAGCATTAACAATGCCTTAAATAAATCGTTATGCCTTAATTATGTGAGAAAATTGCTTTGTGCAAAAACAACATGTAATACACAAGCTTCTTCACAAGACTCAGTCTGGTAATGATGGTTGGATGAAGCTTCATGAAATCTTGTAGTTGGTTCAAAAAAAAAAAAGTTCAAGTTCAGCTTCATTTGTTCACAGCGCCCCCTGCTGGTCAAAACTTTATTAATTTTTACTGCTTGTGAAGACCTCTCGGCTGCTTTAACAAAATTAATACAGCTCAATTTTATTCTGTGGTTTATTAATGTGATTTTGGATCGTTTGTTTAAGGTCACAGAAGTTATTTTATTGTGTTTGTTTATTAAATCCTTGTCAGTGTATTTTCAGTCAATGCCATATTAAACATATTGCAGTGAGAACATGAATGTGCTTAGAAATGCAGGGTTCATGGTGACTTGATTCATGCCATGCCACTTGCTGTTTATATTAAAGACAAGTATTTTTTTTCTGCTGTGGTTGAACTCAGTCAGTTTTTCTCTTTYAAACTGTCATCCACATGTCTGCTGTCAAACTCCCTGCAGCAGAGTTATTGGTGGTGTTATTTTACCTCAGTTCCTTGAAACACACCAAACACTTCTCCTTGGAATGAAAAAAAAAAAAAAAACAATATGTGACTGTAATAACCACAATAACAGTAATAAAAACAATAACGTTAATGTTTGTAATGGACTTTACAACTGTGGTTCTTTATGACTCAAAAAAAAAATCACAATTAAAAAATGAAACAAGGAAACAAAAGAGATGAGAAACAGAAAAATGTTTTAGACTTTTTAAATGGCATTCTGCAGAACATTTCATTATCTTACACTCAAAGTGCCGCCACACGAAAACAAGCTCCTCTGTCAGAAAGTGGTGAAACCTCAGCTCAAATCTTTTCCTGAACCAGCGAGGCTTCAGACGTCACCAGTGACTCATCCTGAACGACACAAGCCTCGGCTYCACACACACTCTGAAACCTCCGCGCAGGAAGCCCCATCACTACAGCCCAGGATGATTTTGGCCGCCTCAAGACAGCTTGAAGTCAGCCCACCCTTTTCTCTGTGAGTAGTAACAGAGCCGAAACGAYCAGCTTGTGAAAAGATAAAGGGGTCTTGATCTCCGTTGACCTCTCCTGRACAGATRACATCACAACTRTCATCAAGGAGGACCCAGCAGTGACTACTACACTTTCTGATGGTCCTCAGGAAGAACAAACTGGACAAAACACTGCTGCTGAGCTTCTATCACTCATTCATTGAGCTCCTCCTGACAAACGGTTCTGCATCTCAGTCTGGGGGAGCACCACCGAGGCAGGCAGAAGGTGATCAAGGCGGCACAGAAGATTKTTGGCTGCCCTCTTCTCTCTCTGATGGTGCAGAGCACCGAACACCTTCAAGGACACCTCTCATCCAGGTTCCCAACAGTTTGAACTACTGTCTGGCAGGCATCTCCAAACCGGAACCAAAGAGTTTCATGAAGGGCCATAACATTCCTGAGTTCTCACATGAACTGATCTCACTCAGACTTGCTTCTCACCAGTAACAACAATAATGTGTAATACTGTATATATTACCCCCACTACTGCTGCTACTGTTTAGACCAGTGGTTCCCAACGTTGGGGTCGGGACCCCTCTGTGGGTCACGAAAAATCAAGTGAGGATTTCCAGACATCAATTTAAGTGCAAATAAAATTGCTCATGAAGTATTTTCACCATAATTATTGCAATAAAGAATAATTATAAATGAATACAAGCTGTTTTATATTTATAAAGTTTGTTGATATATGTTAATGTTTAACAGAGTTTTAAGCAAAGTTTACTGTAAACCTGTAAAATCTGGGATTAGAAGTTTCTGCAACTGTTATTTTGTGGGCTGGAAGGTAAAAAAGTTTGAAAACCACTGGTTTAGACCCTTGTCCACTGAGCAAGACCTTTATGTCGACAATGTGCAGGCCTCAGTTAGCCAATAGATGATACAGTGTGAATGAGCCTCTCAGCTCAACCCAACTTTATTTAAAAACTAAATTTCAAACTAAAGTGTAAACCAAAATGTTAAACAAGCAAATAAAAAAAGATCTATATGACAATAAATATATTTCAGAGGTTGGTTTTTATTTTCAGGACAAAAAAAAGAATTGTGTCCAAGCACTTTATGATTTTCTTAACTGCTGTTCTTATCTGTCGTGTCCCTATCTGTTATCTGCGTCATGTTTACATCTCCCCGCCTCATTCTCTATGGAAATTACACTTGGACAGATGAGCGTCTCAGCCTCAGTGGACAACCTGTTCTTAATGTCTTCCTGTGGAAGATAAAAGGATGTATGAACTCTCCTGTGGAGCAGAGCGATATGAGATGAGCACATCAGATACTGCAGCGTCATTATTTTATGAATAAAGATGTTAAACTCCAGTGTCCTTATTAAAAATAAATCACTGATATTTTGTCATTACTGCATCTTGAAAGAATCAGTGATGTTTCTGGAACGGTGTATTTTTTTTATTGCAGTGTTTTCTTTACAAGGATTAAAAAATTGCCGAAATCAAGTGAAATTATTTTAAAGTATTTAGTGTTCTGGAAAACTCTTTTTAGAGGCTTGTTCTAAAATAAAGCATTTGCTTATAAAAAGCTATGAGCAGAGCTGTAATCTAAATAAGTACAAATACTTTGTTACTGTACTTAAGTAGAAATTGTAGTTTTCTCTATTTTACTTGAGTAATTATTTTTCAGCATACTTTTTACTTACATTTTTACACAATTATCTGTACTTTCTACTCCCTACATTTTTTAAAAAGGTAAGAAGTAGAAAGTCGTTTCTCCTATTTCATTTTGGCTTTTCATTGTTAAAAACATCCTGAAAAATTGTGGCTCCTGGATAGAGTGAATTTAACTGTGTTTGGATGAGAAGTATAAATATATACCATTCTGATACTGTATTAGTTTGTACACAATCCATCACAGCTACACACCATAACAAGCTCCAGCAGGACAAAGCAGACATATGTAGTCGAAATTTTCTAACATGTTTTTAATATGATATTATAGTTAT